AATTGGCCAATTGGGAAAAAAGTACACTGAAGAAAGCAAGTCCCTAAAACACACAATTGGACAATTGGAAAAAAAGTACGATGAAGAAAATAAATCCCTTAAAAATACAATTGACCAATTGGAGAAGAAAGTACAAAATCTAATAGAATCCTACAGTTTTTGATAGTCACAGAAAGAGTTAACTAACATATGAAGGAGTGCATGTGGTTCCCGCCCCAGTCATTTCATTGGCTTTAAGAGAGGAAAAAGCAGGAGAAAAAAGGAATGCACTAGGCTAGGGAATAAAGGATGAAGACAAAGTAAGAATTTATGATTTAGCTTAATTGGAGTGCATGGAAAGAGAATATAAACATGGAGGAAAGGGGGAAATAGGAATTTCATGACCCTCATTTTTAGCTCAATTGTACAAAAGAAGATTGAGTAAACACATAGAGTCTTGTATAGAAATTCATTACGCTTAAGAAAGAAATAATTAGGGATAGGGAAAAGGGAGAAAAGGATTTAAGAGGGATGGCAAATATTAGCGATGAAGAGTCACAAACAAAATAAACATTACTCACACAGGATGTATGAGAAGGGAGGAGTCAAAACAGAGAAAGAAAGTATACGAACTAGAGATCAGGATCTGGGCTTGGTGAACAGACGAAGGGCAGAAGAGTAGGAACAAGCTACTTTAATTTTAAAATACCAGTGTTGGTCAGAGTTATCTTTTCTCTACCTCTTTCTTTGCAAACAGGAGAAGGAAGAAGGAAAAAAGTACTTAGCTGAGATGGAGGAAAACACATAGTTAATAGTCATAATCATGAATAGGATGAATTTACCCTTAGAGTGGAAGAGGGAGACTGAATGGATTAGAAAGTAGAATCCAACACAAAGATTCACACAGAGTTAAAATGAGAGGATGGAGCAGAATTTTTTATAAGACATATTTTAAGGAATTTTCAAAAATGGAGGTTGCACTTCTTGAATGCCAGCCTCAGGGACAGACAGTTGTGGACTTCATGATTTGAAAAAAATATGGCCAAAAAATACAGAAACTGAAGAAAGCATCTCAGCTATGATGAGTTGGCTGTACAGTGGATTGGCATGGGAGGCAGACTGAGTATGCAAGCAGGCAGCAGCTTTCCAGAGATTTTTTAGTACTCCTAAGCTGTCTTTTTTTTTGACTTGTAAGAATCCAGCTTCAAAATTCCTTTTGGAAGAGACACATGCTGAAGGAGAGTCAGATTCCAAAGCAAACTTTGTAAGATCCTGACAAACATCAGGGTGGAGGGGGAGGTGGTGAGGGAGGCAGCCCATGATGCCCGTGAGATCTCATGATTAGATGTGGGTGATTTTTAGAGCTGTCTAATAGCCCAGACTTAAGTCTTTGGGATGTGTCCAGAGAGGTAGCCCACTAATGTGGAAAGATTGCTGGAGTGAGTCAGGAGATCTAGCTGTGTCCTGGCATTGTTACCTACTGGCTGTATAACCACAGGCAAGTTACATAACCTCTCTGATCAGCTCAGTTTCTCACTTTACACATCCCAGAGTATTTCTGAAGAAAGCACTTTATAGCATTTCAAGTGCTCTCTCTCTCTGTCTAATCGTCTGTCTATTTATCCACCCAACCATTTATTTATCTATCAATCTGTCTGTCTACTTATCTATCCATTTGTCTGTCTATTTATCTGTTTATTTGTCTCTGTCTTATCTACCTATTTATCTGTCTATTTATCCACCCAACCATTTATCTATCAATCTGTTTGTCTGTCTATCTGTTTATTTGTCTCTGTCTTATCTACCTATTTATCTGTCTAACCATCTCTGTCTACCTACCCACCTATCCATTTGCCTGTCTTACTATCCATCTACATATCATCTATCTATCTACCCATCAATCCAGCTATTATTTATCTATCTATCCATCTCACCTATGTATTTAGCCATCCACCTATCTATCAACATACATACATACATCTCTGTCTCATCTCTCTCTCTATCTCCACATCACCTCTCTGTCTCTATTTCAGTCTCTATCTCTCTATCATTTCTATCTCTGTCTCTATCATTTTGATCATCTCTGTCATCTCAAGTTCTAGTTTCATTACCACTTACATTCAGTTCTACTGCTCTCCGTGTATAAGCTCTGGGACAGCACAAGACCCAGCTCTTGACCAGACACCTATAAGTGCCCACATCTACCTCAATGATGATGCAGGGGAAGAAGTCCCATAACCAAGCACTGGGGTTGCTGGAGCTACCTCAGACCTCCGAGTTCCAACCCAGCAAACATTCATTAAGCACCTACTGTGTGCAAGTGTATTAAAAAAACTAACAAAAATGTCCTTATTCTCAAGGACTACATTCAGCTGACCTCTCCTCCACACTTCCAAAATCACAGAATATTGGAGCTGGAAGGGACCTTTGAGGTTATATAGTCTGAATCCTTCATTGGGAGAGAGAGAGAGA